GGATAATACGCGGTGCACTGTCAAGGACTGGGTTACCAGAAGACTGGGTCTCCCGAGATCACTTCACTACCTCAATGTGGTGGCCACAGTTCACAGAGCGCAGACGTGATCTGACAGCCTGCAGGTACTTTCCAGGTGAAGTTGCCCAAGGGGCATGAGACGATGAAGAGGACATTCTATTGTAAATAAGCACAGAATAAGAATATAATATCTCAACTAGCTCGCTGATGCGGTATAAAAAGATAGCAGTTAGGTATAGATAGGACGAAGGAATCAGACGCGATGGGCATCGTTTTGGGCAGGGCCAGGATATCGACGGATGCGGAAGGAATGGCGATCAAGCACGCGACGGCTGATCGGTCGGGGGCGGCGTCTGATCGTCGAGGGGCGGCGACTGATCGAAGGGGGCCGCCACAAGATTGACCATCGGTTTGGGCACGACAGGTTGACGCTCTCTGGTGGGATGGCGATCAGACACACGGGTGGTTGAGCTGCGGGTGCTGCAATCAGGACATGGATGCCAGTAGCCGGGTTGGGCTCGACTGTGGGGAGTGGGTGCTCCCGGAAGAGGGAGCGCGCTTCCAATTCGGGATCCGCCTCGATGAAGCGGACGACGTCGGCGTCCTCTGCCCAGGCTGGATCCAGAGGGCGTAGATCCCCATTGCTTTGCCTGCTGCACGACTTGGAGAGTGGCCTGATTATCATCATCAATCAGTTTGGGATGTAAGATCGTGCGGTGATTGGGACCGACCTTGGGGGGGATCACAATGCAGATGCTGGTGTTGGTCGGATCCGGCAGGTCTGCCAGGGACTTGAGACAAGGGATACCCTGGCTGTGAGAATCCGTGATGTTGATCGGCACAACGTCTCGGTGCACTTTGATAAGATATTGGAGAGCCTGCAGATGAGTCGAGTCAGCTGTCGGTCAACCCCATACTTGCAAGCCGCAGCACACCTTGGTCCCGAATTTTTTCTCGTCTGCTGAAGCACCGACGACTGCAAATTTCTTTGCGGCAAAAAACCGGTTCTTCTTAGTCTCGAAGGACACCGACGTATGGCTTGTCGACAAGGAATGCTGATGCAAAGCTGTCGTGTTGTACAGACAGTGCGACTCGAAGCCAGCGTCTGCTTCGATGAATTTGAGGACCGCATCGTCTTCTGCGCCGGGCTGCAGCCACACCGAAGGAATGCTCAAGGCTTTGGCCTGCTGGAGGACTTGCAGCGTGACCTGCCGGCTATCAGACGCGGAAAAGCCGGTGATTGGGGATTGGGCTTACTGCAGGGGGGGACGACGCATGCAGAGGGTGGGGTGGATCAGGCAGCTCAGACAGACTCTTGAGGCACTTCAGGCCACGGACGTCTGCTCTGTTAGGGTTGATGGGCACCACATCTTTCTGGCGGTCGGCAAGAAACGCGACAATCTACGCGAGGATTAGGACCTGGACGAGCGGGCTCGAGTCAGCAGCTCTGACCTTCGATCCGTACTTTGAGCTGTCGGCTGAGGCGCCGACCACGGCAAAGTGCGCAGAGGCGTAGAACTGTTTGGCTTTGAGGGCGGTCTGGGAGTCCATGGGAGATGAGTTGGGATGACTGGAAGTGCAAAATGGTGACTCGTTTTATATTCCAGTTGGGCGCCCTTGTCGGTCCGGTTCCGTCAGAAAAAAGACACTGCATGGATGGCTGATCCGCCACAGCAGGCTGATGAGAATGGACGATGCAGGCAGTGTCGGATTTTCATCCAAGTTCCTGAGCCATCTTTGTCTGATACTGATACATGTCGCAGTTGACAAGATCGTCCCGTTTCGGGATGCGGACGTTATTCCGTGTCATGGACGTCAGCGACGGCAGTCTATTTTGCTTCATCCTGTGCGCGCGCGTGTGCAGATCCGGCCCGCTGTCCACTGGGGACGCATGTGCCGGAGTGCTGGCGAGTCAAGTCGAATGAGTTGACTCGGGGCTGATAGCGGGATCGCACTCGCGGGTTGCGATCCCGGCGACAAGAATTTACCGCGTCCCCGTACGAGCCAACATGGTCAACAAAGGTCGTACGGTCCGTCGCTGTATCGGCGCGTCTATCACAGTGCGATTGAGGTCGCAAGAACACGCGAAGAAGCGAGTCAGCTCAACACAGCCCCGTCAACAGCGCTCAAAGCTGTTTGCAGAACATGGAGTGATGCTTGACTCGATGGTCCCGCGAGTTCCAGAACGAGTTTCAAGAGCAACCGTTGTCATGACTGTGATCGTCGGACCAGGCATAGCTGTGCGAGGATCGCGACAATGAACTGGACAGTGGAGATGGACGATGTAATTGATGTATGTAGCAAAGCTGTGCAGTATCTAAGGTATGCGGCATTTGATTCCAGCACGGGTGACTAAGCATCACACAATCACAACGTGTGACCAAACGGCGACGGAGAATCACAATGGCCACAAGAAAAAAATAAGGAATCTGCTCACATAGAGTGTTCTAGGAGAGCCTTAGGATAATTTCTCTGCAAGCAGAATTTCAATATCTATCCTGCAGGCAGCATGATCTTGGGCTGGCATATTTCCCATCAAAAAGTTCCTCTTGTTGTATAACGTGTTTTCGCACCGAATGCAGCATTTTCCATTTTTCGGGTCCAAAATTTGACCCCATCACGTGACATCCCAATAAGGAAGTGGCAGTGCTTCAGGCTACAACTACCTACTGTGGGCTGGGCATGGCTTTTGACTGTTGCATATGGTGTTTTAGAGCACATATGTACCACTAGACACCCATCCAGAAGCTCATAAGGTCCAAAAAGTGAAGTTGGTTTCTGCGACCTCCGAGATTTGACCCTGTGACCGTGACAGTCACTGCTTAGTCACCCGTGCTGGAATCAAATGCCGCATACCTTAATCTGCCTAAAAGCTGTGTAACCCATCGACTAGGGTTAGGGTTAACCCACCGGAGGATGCAAAAAAAAAAAGTGGACCCCCGACGACACAAGCCAGTAGTGCAGCGGCAAGGTCATCGCGTCCTACTGTTGCAAGCAGAGCAGAAAAACAAGGGCGGCAAAAATTAGATAACCAAATAGAAGGGACTGTGTCCCTCTAATAGTGGTTAAACTATTAAGAACAGATACTACACTTGATCTAAGCCAAAAGGCCAGAGTGGTAAAGATTCATTGCGTTCAGCACTCGGTTTTATACGATTGCAGTGGTGGTCCGTGCGTGAGCACGTGAAGGAGCCATGTGACATGAAATTGCTAGTGATGTGATGCATACATTGAACAATCTTTCCTCTACTCGTCTAAGTACTACAACTTGGCCGTGAACTGAGCCTCCGTGACACCCTTTCCCATGGCCGACGTCGATGAAACACCTCCTGTCACCGTTTTGATCAAGTTGTCCGCATAGTCCGCACCGCTCCACTACGGTCCATCAGAAACGCAACGTGGCGGCGCAAGAATACGACTGACCTTCTGGTGTGTGAGCACGTCTGTGCCCAGATCGCGCTCCTTCCGCTGCACAAGCTCCACGTACGCCTTCATGCCGGTCTTTGCGTAGTTCTTCGCAAACAGATCCGAGATGTACGCGTTCGAGTGCAGGCCTCCGAGCTGTGTCATACCGCAGATCAGTTTCAATCTTCCACGTTCCACGGCATACACGCACCGTGATGAACTGCCACACGAAGCCGAGTGCTCCCAATTGCCAGACGTACGACTCCATGTCCTTGTCTCCCAGTCCAGCCGCATCCCAGTTGAACGACGGACTCAAGTTGTATGCAAGCCAGTGGCCCGGATGTGCTGCGTGCACGCCAGTCGCGAACTGTCGCGCCTGTTCCAAGATAGGCTTTTTCGTCTCCATCCACAACAAATCCGCGTACGGCGCGTACTCGATCGAACGCATGATCGCACACTCCGTCCCGCCTTGGTACCGGTAGTATCCCTCTCGGGTCCGAGGGCTGTCCCAGTTCCAGTACGGCACGCTGCGAAGACCATACTCCCGTTGAGCGATTGCCACCGCCTCTGGGTACGACGATCGTGCGACGCGCGCCACAAAGCGGTCAACCGTTCCCGCCGACACGCCTTGTTGGGAGAGCGCGACGGCAAGGGCCGTCGAGAACAGTTGGAGACCGGCCGCGGCTACCCATTCGTCTTCGATACGCTGGAGCTCGTCGCCGACCTTTCCAGCTCTCTCCGCATCGGTCATCACTTTCTGCAGAGGCTCCTGGCCCTGCTTGGTTGCACCGAGAATGTATGCATGGTCGCGATCGTCGATGTTGGAAGTGATGAGCGTAGCGGCCTCGGAATCTGTCCGGGCGATGGCCAGGTTGTCCACGCCCATGATGTCGAACTGCAACCGGATCGCAACGAGACGGTTGATGTGCTCCTGAATGGGGACCAGAACCTTTCCGGCCATGTGGCCGCATTTCTTGGTTCCCGGGGCTTGATCTTCCACGTGAATTCCGGCAGCGCCCTTCTCCACGAACATCTTAGCGAGCTTCATGACTGCTGTCAGTCCACCGTGGCCAGTGTCTGCATCAGCGACCAGCGGTCGGAGATAGTCGACGGGAGCAGGAGCACTGGCGAGTTCGGCATCGGACATGTTGGCCCTCGCCTCGCGTTGCTTCCGGTCGTGGAACAGCTGGGCCATGAAGAGGTGCTCGACCTTGTTGGGGACCGTGTTAGATGGGTAATCTGGAGGACGTGAGCGCCGAACAGATGCATGGGTAGGGGATGATGGACGTACCAGCGAGATCGGGGCCGGGTTCGTTGGTGCTGGATGCCGTGCTGGATGACTGCCACCCAGAGACATAGACCGTCTCGAGGTATTTGGCCATCTGGGTCACCTGGACAGGGTCCAATCTGCAAGCGGTGAGTGTGATGTTGTGGACCACGAGCTCGAAGACTGACGCGCCATAGGTATGTGAGGGCGTGCCCTGTTTAGCATGCTCGCTCAAGAGAGACCACAGTTTCTTCGCTTGAACGTTGGATGGGTACTCGATTGGGAGAGTCCCCCGCTTAGCAACGACGTCGGCAGCTGAGTACGGGCGCTTCACTCGAGCGAAGCGGGGGTTCTGTCGATGGAGGATGAGGCTGATGTGAGCGCAATTCTTTTGCTACGACTTGCCTTCCACCACTGTTCGACCCGGGCAACTTCCTCAGCAAATGCGATGCGTTCTCTGGACATGATAGTTGTGTGGTGGAGAGTTCAAGACCCTGGAATTCACCCCCTGTTTAATAGTCGCGACATGTGATTTTTATCTGCCGATCACCTGTGCTCTACGAATTACCTACCCGGAGCCCCGTCTACCCCCGCATTCGGGAGCGGAGATAAAAAGAAGGTCTCGCTCCGTTCCGTCTGTTTACGGATGGCATCCACCTCGGGCCATCTCATTAGCCGGGTCTTTACCGTCGATTGCCGTCAAACACAAGCCCCGCCAGGCCGTACCGTACGGCAAAGGCAATCACGCTCCCGCAGACCTTACGAACGTTTGGATCAAGGTTCACCCAGCTTGAGAGTCCGCACCTGAGAGTACATCAAGACTTTGACGAGACTTTTCTCGGACATCGGCCCGAGCCGTAATAAAAACCAATTGAGAATGGTCAAGTTGTTGGCTTCGAGAATGTTGCCACTCCCAGGATGCACCGTCAATTCGGTCAGGCCGACTGCAGCAAGGATCTTGAGCACTGCAGTTGACAATGCGCTTGGCGGCTGCAGGAACATGGCTTTCGAGGGGTGCAGCAGGTTCGTCGCATGATCAACCCTGCGCCAAGATATTAGCCTCGGCGGCAAAAACCGACCAGGGCCTACCTTGGAACCCGGTGTCGCGGACAGGGGACAAGTCCAAAGAGCTGCGGGCAAGAGAGCAAGAAGTTGAAGATCTGGGGAATGAAAAACAGCAGCAGTGTCTTCGAAAAGTGGGCTTGGATCCCAACCACTGCAAATGCCATTCCGGTGACATAACACAGCGTGTCGCCAGGAAAGGCACGCGCAGGGTACCAATTGTGGTACAAGAAGCCGGCACAGACCGCTACCAGTGGCAGCATGAAGTATAGACTGAACAGATGGCGCTCGACCAATTCACGGCTTCCATAAGCCATTCCAGCACTCCAAACACCGCCTATCTCAACCTCAGCACGGCCGCCAAGCAAATGCAGAGGTATTCTGAAGTCCAGCGGCCAGGGAAGAAACAGGAGATCGTTCAGGATGACAGAGACGGCGATGATCAACGCTTGGCTGACTTCCGCGCCATTGATTCCAGCCAAAATATTGAAGCTGTTCGTCGAAAACGTGCTCAAAAGTGACATATACAGATAGTAAAGTGGCCCTTTTGAACATATCATCAGTAGATCTTGACCCCTTTGAGACATTGAGTGTACCGAGGTTGACCAAATTGCCGAATATGGACCGGAGTGGCAGCGGAACCACGACATGAGTGTTACCCCGCTCAGCGTAGTAAACCATCAGCAACGGAATAGAAGCTATGATCGGAATCGGAATTTTGTGTCTCCAGCGAATGTCGAACACGTCGTCTAGAAAGCCAAGTACTGTGGCGATCATCAAGGACAACAGCGACGAGAGATAGACCGCAAGCTGCTGGCAGTCAGGCCGAAGTACGACGAGATAGTCGGACTCGAACCAACCTGATGATGCGGAAATTCAATGACCGAAAGACCCTCTCGGACCTTCGATGCATTGGCAAGACCGGAGATCGAATCCGAGAACGCGAACGGGATGAATAGGATCAAGAGCAGAATGTATACGGAAGCGCAGACAAGGCCTTGGCTTTCCGGACTGCATGATGCGGCACAACGTCTGGATTAGAACACAGACATTCTTCGGTCGGCAATAAGAGCGTAATTACATAGGAGTTTTGTCGGTCTTCAGAAGGTCTACGCCCTTTAGATTCGCTTTGATGAACGCGGGTCCGACGGCGGGGATTATGTATAGCGTGGAAACAAGCGCAAAGAAAGAGAATCCTATCGACGCGTAGAGGGTGGGCAGTGGTGGCGTCGGGTCTATGAACGGTCGTATGACGAACCATGTCGCGATAGGCACTAGGCCAAAGAGGAGAATATTCGGGAGGGGCCGAGGAGGAGGCATCGACGAGGACTGTAGTGTTGCGTTGGTTCAGAGCCAGGACATAGAGGTCGGAGGCAGCGACGTTCGCGTGTCGAGTTGGGACGTGTCGCGCACGTGCAGCTAATTACATGTGATGGCTGCCTCTTTCCACGCTGCTAACGCCTCGGTGCATCCGATTGCCTATCATCCGTTATGTGTTGTAAAAGATTCTCCTGGAAAGGGACGCGGACTCTTTGGTACGTGGTATTTCCTGATGCGATCTCGAGATACGCGTATCGACTCTCCTCAGCCGCAAGATCTATCCCGCCTCGAACACTGCTGGAGAGTAGTCCCGTCCTTCTGTTTGGCAAAGAAGAATACGAAAATCACGGAAAGTGGGGTGTTTCTAAGTTCAAAAAGTCTCGATCCTCATATAAAACCCAAGACACACCCTCTTGGACCACTACACTTTCAAATGGAGAAACGGTTCCATGGCACTCGCCCTCGGTCTCGGTATGCTGTCCCAATGTTGGCGTCTTCTTTTGCCACTGGATGAAACTCTGTTCCTCAAGGCTCTCTGTTCAACCATTCTGAATCCCCCAACGTGTCGTACACTCTCGATCCTGCGACAGAATCGATACACTACACGTCCACGCGCAATATCTCTGAAGGCGACGAACTATGTATCTACTACGGATCGAATCTCTGGTTTGACGCTACTGGCTCTGATCAATCACATCACCAGAGTCCGGAACCAGAAGACGGCTGGGGAGGTCTCCTGAAGCTCGATCTTAGCGCGGCAGAGGATGCAGATGAATTAGAGTGGCATGTTCCCGACGGAGACGAGAGCGAGGTGCTTCCAGAAGAGATGCTGCCCTTCCAACGCATCAAACCTCTGCCGGAAGGAGAAACGGCGGATACTGTACGGACGAGTGAATGATCTCGATTCCCCGCCCATTTGCACATGTTCAAATCCAGATCCGCAGTTGAAGCATGGGCTGTAGACGTCCCCGAAGAACGCAACCTCGGTCCTCTCCTCAAGTAGGGCGACAGGCATCCGCTCTTCATCTTCTTATTTGTCCCCCAGATGGCTTAAGCAGTCGCAACTCGACCTCGAAGCTCTGTCACATCTGAGGCGCATTCGCAAGCAAGATAACACGTGCACCTTTCTGCTCAGCATCGTCGAAGCGGGTCTTCCCTATCCCAGTCTACCAAAGGATATCGTTCTCCCCGTACCATATCATGTCACTGTGCCTGCGTCAGCTGCCCTGACAACAACATCTCTCGCACTCAAAATGCAGTTATGGCCCACCGTCTTTTCACCCGTGCGCAAAAATCAAGAAGAGGACTGGACACGAGGAAAAGCTCGTTGGGCGTGGACTGCCATGCGGAAAGCGATCGCTGAGGCCAAGAACCAGAGCGACGAGGTGCGTCTCGACAATCGGCTGTGCTTCTGCTTAGCCATTCCCTCCAGCTTCCCATCACAGCTCACGTCCCGGTGCCCTACGAGACAGAGAGCGACGACATTGGCCCTTTCCCCACGGCCGGCTTTCTTGCCCACGACAGGCGACATTCGACAAACCATCCACTGCGTCACGCAGTAATGAACGTTATTCGCGCGATCGGTGAATATCACGCCTCTGGGCAGCATAAAGACGCCAGCGCACGCAGTGGCTATCTTCTGAGCAACCTTACTTTGTTCACCACGCATGAGCCATGTGTTATGTGCACTATGGCGCTGACCCATTCTCGCGTCAAGGAAGTGATCTACCTGGTCCCAATGACAAGAACAGGCGGATGCGGAGGCTCAGTGTGTGTCCCGCTCCTACCCGGGATCAACCACAGGTTTTGGGTGGCGCATTGGAAGAGAGATGCAGAGCAAGTGAAGGGGATCAAATTAGACGACAACGTCGACGCTTGAGGGCAGTTTAGTTTATACTTCATAAAGAGAAGTACACCTCTCCGAGATATATAATCTGTATCTGCATAGTAATTTAGCTTCCAAGTCGACGAGCCTGGAGTATATAAATCACTTACCACCATAGTTCTCTCCGCTTGGTCCTGATCATGTTGGTTAACGTCCTGCGTTCGCTCCACTTCTCTCTCGACTTGGCCGCAATAGCCTCCTGTTCACGCCGCTTTGCCTTCCGGGTACTCTTCTTCAGCGCTGCGATCGACTGCACAAATCCTCGCGTCACTTGAAACTTGCGTGCAAGGACACTAGTGGTATAACGATTCGGGTCTAGATTCCGCAGGCGTTTTATTTCAGACATAGTCTGTCCCGAGGCGCGGGGAAGCTCTTTGTGCGTTTTCAGTAACGGAGGCAAGCGGACCTCGGCCGCGGGTGTGGAGGGTGACGGCGCCTTTGGTCGCAGCAAAGGCGAAACGGGATTCGTAGTCAGTGAGAACGGAGACGGGGCGCTCGGAGGTGGACGGTGAATGAAGGTCATCCCATCCTCCGGAAGCTCTGTTACACGCGCTTTCGGGTTATTGAGTAGAGGATCTGGGGCGCGGTAGGGGGGTCGTTCAGCTGTGCCAGGCTTGGGCCGTGGCCACTTGGACGCCGTGGACCGTCCGAAAGCGAGCTTCGACGAATGACGCACGAATGCTTGCCCGGAAACGCAGGACGACAATGCGCGCAACATTGTTGGTGAGGGAGAAATTTCGCGGTGGTCACGAGTGTCACGAGTCACTGATTGAGGTGGAAGCCTGGGTCAAACCTCCTTCCGTATTTCCTTGATACACAGAGCACTATAGTACACAAACAATAATCCAATAAACGACATGGGAGAAGAAATCAAGAAGGAGTGGATGGTGCGACACCGTATTGTCCGTGCCCGAAAGTGTAGAAATGCAACGAAAGTTTTTGTGTCCATCCAAGATCAACAGTCAGTCATTCATATCGCATCAGTCTTCGGGTGCCTCAGCACAGGCCCCGGCGTCCATGTCTTTCGTCTCCTTGCCAAGGGGCGGTGAATTGACGCCCTTTCCGGGCAAGGGATCCAGGCGACTTGCAGAGAGAGACAAGCGCCGACTGTCGAAAGAAGGCGGAGCAGGGGATCCACTGGTGCTCCCGTCGTCTTCCGCAGGTTGAGGCCATCCGGGCGAAACATTCCTGCGAACAGGCCGGTCCGTATTCTGTCGCGGAGGGAACGTATACGACTCTGTGGGCACCAGACCATTGGCATATTTGTTCTTGGCCCCCTCAGTACTCATTCTTCGTCCGCTTCCCGACGGGATAGCCAGGCCTGCAGAGCGCAGAGCACTCTCGAGCTCATCGATCCGCCTGTACAGCCCCGCTACTTCGACCCGCACTCTCTTGTCGACTGCAGCCTCCACCATGTCTGCCAAACGACTCTCCATTCCCTCCCGTTCCACAGTGAAAGCCTCTCGTTCCTTAGTCAGGGTCTGAGTAAGTGTCCCTGCCCGAGCCAGTTGCTCTCCGAGCCATCCTTTCAGGGTTCGAGCGTCGCTCAGCGCGTCATAGAACATCTCGAACGGTGCCAGGAAAGCTTCCTTGTCCCTATCCGCTGGATGCCGTTGAGACAATGTTGCAGGCGTCCTAGGAACAGCCAACGTCGTTGCTATCGGCACATTGGTTGCAATCGGAACACTGGCTGCCATTGAAGGGGACCGCGTGTTCGACATATTGGTGGTTGGGGTAGCGGCTATATGCGCAATGGAGGGAACGGCATTCGCACTGCTATGCCGTTGCATTGACAAGCGAGTTGGGGTCGGCGGCACGTAACCAGCTATCCGTCGCCCAGGGCCTTGATCTCCACCAAGTCCCATGACACTTGGCAACCTCGGAAGCGCCATCGAGAATCGGCCCGGCACAGGCGGTGCACTTTGAATCGCAGGCTGGAATTCCTCTGGGGTATGCGCTTCACGAGGGCTGATGATGATATCTGCAGGTTTGCGCTTGACATTTCCAAGTTGCTCGGCACGACGACGAGCAAAACTTATTGGAGGCGGTGGAAGAGAATGCGTGGCAACCGGCGGGGCCGCAAGGGAGGGCGAGTGTGTTGGAGGAGAGGGGACACGGACCATAGGAGGGGTGGCGTTTGTATTCATCACCCGTCGCGACGTGTTTCCATTGGCGGGACTACGCCGCTGACGAGGGCCCGAAGATTTGGCGACATCCGTCAATACAGGAGTCGGTGGCGAGGTGGATGCACCGACCAGACTGCCGCGTCGTTGCTCGATCAGGGCCTTCTGCTTCTGCTTGACAGTTATCATGGACCGTACTTGCTCGATCGCGTTTGGATTGTCGCGCATGAGAGAAAAGCCCATGACAACAGGGGAAATAGGGGTGCTGGCAGATGGTTCAGGAGGGGAGGCACGGACATCCGTGTTCAACTGCGGTGCACCCGTAACTGTCATGCGCCGCTTTTTGGATACGGGTGCCCGTGAAGCGGAGGGAGCGGGTGAGCCGACTGCGGGGTCGGGCTGACAGAGATGGCGTGCGTCGGCATCTGGCATGTTGGTGTCGTGTTCCTGCTTGATTCTAACCAGCCGCGGGGGCTCTCGTCTAGCAGCCCAAAGGTTAGTTGAGATACGGATAGAGAGTCATATATGACACACTCGTCTTCGATAGACTCGTCCCTGGTGTGTGACCCGTGGTCTCGAGGTCGTTTTCGTCCGTTGACCTTATCCTCATCCATGTGATGAGAGTGGCGGGATGAGGAGGACATCGGGGGCGAAATGGGGCGTCGAGGATGTGGTGGTGTCGAGCGTGGGTGAATTGGGGGAAGAGCGTTACTGCCGGACAAGATACCGCCCAGGGGGAGCTCTGTGTTGCTGAACGCCTGAGCGAATGATGGTAAAGAATGAGCGTGGGTGGTCATCGTCGGGCAGGACGTTCACGAGCAAGGTCGTAGACCAACCACCGACGGGAGGCAGAAAACGTGATGGCAGGAAGCAAGCCTGCTGTTCGCTGAATTCTCAACAGAAAGAGTGAGATTCGATCAATGCATAATATTAGAGCATCTTTCCCCCTTGGCACGCAGGTCCCACCGACTGAAACATTCCATCCGCCAACATTTGAACACCCCTTGGCTTCCAACATCAGATTCCCATGTGCAAGAGGGTGCAAGTTGAGGCCAGTCTCCAACGAGTCTCCACCGGATGTCTTCGGAAATCTGCATATTTTCTCACGCAAAATTGACTGAAGTGTGGAATTTGTCATAGCGACGTGCCTCGCAACCATGACAACTGAAGTGTTTACTGCATCCGGGACAATCCATTCTTCCTTCAAAGCTCAACACGAAACCGCCAGACGCCAAATGACCATCTTTCACCATGCAATGCATGCATCACAGACAGTTACGTGTTACAGATTGAGCGGCAAGGAACCAAGGTCACAGCCTTCAGTTTTGTTTCCTCTTCTTTCGGACAGTCAACACCGTCACGTGCGTTTCTGAACGTGATTCGCGCGTAATTGGCGCATTCTCGACACGAATCTGACCGTGTATATGGCAGTCGTATGTTTCCAACGAGGCGATTGGCTCTGGGAAGGGATTGGGAGAGACGTCTGGCACATGACTTGATCCTTTTCGTGGAGGTGTCGATGGGGGGACGAGGAATCTCGGCTTCTCACCAGGTTCTGGTGTCTTTCTGCCGCCAGTCCCCACAACTTTTTTCGGTTTTCCGGTGGCTATCGGCACTGGGACGCGAGCCATTCCATCGCAGAGACTCTTGATGGTTGCCTCCACCGCTGCAGTTCCCTTGAGAGCCCTCTCTCGAGTGGAAAACTCGACACCAGTCATCAGTCCGTTCAACACTCGCTTGTTGACAGCTTCAGCGACTTGTCCGGGTTGTGGAGCCAGAGGAGACATATTTTGTACTTCCTGCGGCAAATCCGACAATAAGCAAGACACAATGCCCACGAAGAACCCCGTGATTGCGCCGGCAACACACTCTTGTCGAAACGACATCCGCTCCCAGAAGTCGTCAATCGACACCTTCCCCAGCTCACCACCCATGTGCGAAACCTTGTCTTTCTTATCCCTGCTCGCGCCTTCCGTCGTGGTCCGGATTCTCTTGCGAGGGGGAGAGTGTCCTGCCTCAATGTCGGACGCCATCTCGTCTATGAAACGGGATTTAGGACAGTCGTCGAACCAAGGAATAAAGTGCCCGAGGGGTGCATCTTGGGCGTGTGGTGGACAGGGCAACGGAATATTCCCTTGAGAGTATGGATGTCCGTATATCCATTCTCCTTTGACCGTCGAAGAAGAAGACACGCGCCGCATCGCTTGATCCGCTTCAAACTCGCTCATGCCCGGGAGCAGATAGTAACTCTTCTTAATCACCGCCTCTCCTCCAGCCACCTCTGCCACGGCATTGCCCACGACCGACCTCCACCAGGCACACAGTCGTATATCCGACAGTGGCTTTTTGACTTCGCACTCGGAGGAGTTGGGGAACAGATATTGGCCCTGCGCGCGTGCAAACAAATGCACCCATAGATGCCTTGCTGGGATCGGCCTCGTTTTCGGATCCGAGTAGTACTGGATGAATGATGAAGCGATGGTTCGAGTGGGTGACGGATTGATTCCTTGGCCAGTCGAGTCCAACTTCGATATGTACAGAATCGCGGAGGAAGTGGACGGGATTGTGTAAACAGCTGCCTCCAGTGCAGTAGTGAAAACGCGAGGCTTAGGAAGCTCCACTTCTGAAGTCGAGCTACTGTCCTCCTTCACTTCGTCTTTCACGCGTTCTGCTTCGTCGTTCACTTCCTCGGATACCAAGATGAGCACATCTTGAGCGTAAGAACGGGGGCGTGGCGTGGCATAAGGAAAGAGGTTCTGATATTTCCGGGGCGCGGTTACGAGAACGTGAATGTGGAGCTCCCGGCTGCCAGGTAATCCTCTGAGCGACTGGAGGAGATGGTCGCGCAAGTGAGCCGTGGTTGGGCTCGAAGAGGCCATCGAAGCACGTGATCGTCCGATGCAACGACAAGTGTCAACAGAATCGAAAGGAAGGAGCGGTTATTCAGAATGAAAATAGTCTCTCCATCCAAAAAAAAAAACAGGCGGCCGACTGGAGTGTGCGATGTCCAGAAATAGTCTCCTTGAAGTAGGGTACAGTCATGGAGGAAATGCAAAGCAATGTATTGATACAATTGGTAATGTATGGCGAGTACAGCTAGATGAACGGGAATGTGATTATGCAACGTACGCGAAGGTGTCTCGCGTGCCCTCGACACGTTCGATGTATTCCTTCTCCAACAAAGTGTCTATGGCCTGCAAAGAGAGTCGATCAGAAATACAAAAACTGGTTAGAAGGCAAGTGACCTTTTTGATGTCGGGAATCTTGGGAGCAAAGCGTTGTGATATTTGAGAGATAACCTCCTGAATGAGAGGCTGGTTCTTCATCGTCTTTCGTGCCTTCATCACTCTGGACACACAGTCAACAGGGAGCTAGTGCACCGGCAAGGAAAAGGAACGCACCGGACGATCGTTGCCTGGATGACATACTTCCGGTCCTCGTCGACTGTCTTGAGGACTTCACTCGTGTCGGCCTTGACCTCTGATTTGATGGGCAAGTTGAGGTTCACTCGGATCTTCTTTGATTTGAATCCTGCAAGGAAGCGTCTCAGAAATAGCCTGGGTTAAAGCATGGAGAAGAGGCTGACCGGGGTTCAGATCGTATTGTTCCGACTCCTCGTTGACGAGAATCTTCGCCTTGACCAGAATGGCCAATACTTGGGCCAGATAGTCCTTCGGAATCGAGGTGGCAGCCTCCAGCTCAGACAAGGAAAGCGTGTCGTTCCGGTTATACTGGACCAAGATAGCCATTTGGAACGAACTTGTCATGAGAATGTACTTCTGGTTAAGGTAGTTGGTTCGCAGCTCGTTCTTCGAGTAGTTCCACAGCCAGGTCAGCTTTCGCCCCGAGTGCTTCATCTGATAGTACCGCGAGAAACGGTCGTACGTCGGGAGAATCTCGGCAGGAATCACAAACTCGTGTGCCGGAGGGTTCAATGGCCAGAAGTTGGTGCCAAGGACCATGATACTAAAGTTGATATCATTATCATCGTGAGTTTGTTGCATCCGTTCCTTGAACTGATCGGTAAGATCTTTGCTGAGACTCATGTCTGGAAGAGATCAGCATTGATTTACTTTCGACAGAATGAAGGCAGACGAGTGAACCTGTGAACATTCGCTGCAGCTTGTTCGTATATTCGAAGCCGCAGGCCTCTTTCAGCTTGGAGATCATGCTCGCCTCGCTCTCGTCCGACGCAGAGACACCGTGGATAAGACGCTTCGAAAGTTTCGTTGTGTAGAACTGCTGGAAAACATCCTTGTCTTCGATGTACTTGAATAGAACCATCTAGCAAAGCACATCAAATGACACATCGAAGAGCGAACAAACACGCTTACCACTCGGTTGAGGGCGGCTTCCAAATCTTCCTCCTCTGCCATCTTGTTGTTCTTTCGCAGAAGAAGATCGGCGTGCTTGGCAATCAATTCGGGCGATTTGGAATTGGAAGCGCCAGTGGCTGCATTCCGATTGACGAATTCACGGCACGCCTTGTCCAAGCTGGCGACAAAGCCAGCTTCGCCTTTGAAGCTCCGATTGACCGTCTCTGAATTCTTCTTGTGCACATCCAGCAATGCGTCAACATACGCTTTGGGGTCGATTGCATCCGCATTTCCCTCGACTGTCCCATCCGCGTTCGTCCCGACGAGTTTGGCCACTGCAGCCATACCAGCCCTTTTGACATGCTCCTCGAACTTCTTGCGCAATGGTTCAAGGCCCTCGGGAATGCGGGCAAGGAGGGCATACATCCGCTGCAGATCTTCGTCCTTGTCAAAATCCAGGAGGGATTGGAAAGTATCCCATAGCAGGTTTGAATGCTCGCGGATGAGAACCTGCTCACACTTCAGCACGAGCGGTTTCCGCGTTTGCGTGTTCAAGTATCGATCCACCCGATCCTCCTCCTCGCGCAGACGTTCCTCTGCTTTCTTCAGATAATCAGAGACGCTGTTTTCCGCCAGAAAAGATTCGGACTCGTTCTTGTAGTAAGCTTCTGTAGCCTCTAAGAATGGCGTCTCGAAGTGATCCTTGTAGACATCCAGACACGCCTTGTTGGTGTCTGATTCATCCAGACCAAGCGACACGAGTGAGTCCACCACTTTCTTCACGAGCCCTTGGTCGATCGTTTCCCCGTTGCGTTGCAGCTCGATCAGTCGTAAGACAGCGGAAACGAGTTTGTTGTGTCTCTTCTGGATTTGCACAAAGAGATTGTCTTTCCAAGAGACGAGTGCAAGCTAAGGAAATAACAATGGGTTATTCGAGAATGAGAGAAGATCGATGCACACGCACCGTGTAAACAGGATACACGCCTTTCCTACCCTCATCGCGCTCGCGTTTCACCCAATGCCTATTCAGGTACGTGAACAAGCGATTGATGTAGTTGGCGCCGGTCGTATATCTCTCCCACTCGGCAGCGTAGTACTGAAGTAGGGCCTCGTTCTGCATCGTATCCGCTTCCTAAGTCCGTGAATACCTAGTCAGCCAATATATACAGATCGCGCACTCACTGTTCGCAGATTCTTGAGATGGTTGACAAAGTATCGAATGAGGTTGTTGTATAGCTCTGCTCCCATTAGACTGGCACCCGCTGTAAACTATTTAGAGTGCGATCTGGGAAGCACGAGTGAGAAAAGCACTTCGATTTGTGATGCCGGTGCCAGCTTCAGGATTGCTAGGCATCTTGGATACAGTACAGTAGTTATAGGCCACTGTGTATAAGGACATATACTGTAAGATAGAATAACAAGATCAGTCGAGTGCGGTATTGGGGACGCGATATAATGACCTTGGAATAAGAAACACCGGTTTGAAGCTTGTTCATGATATGGTCTACGCCGTCCTCGAGGAACTCCCAAGTTGTCTTGAGATCGGCGGTTGTAGCAGGCATTGACAAGGCAGCCATGGTGGTGGTCGGAAGACAAGCGCGTTGCGGCCCTCTAGATCAAAACGTGACACGATTACACACTGAAGTCAAAGCGGTGCTACGATGTGCACCATTGGGACGTAGGAACAAGTGCCCGTGTATATGAGAACATAAGTACGTAGATTATAGTTTGACGCCAGTGTGAATGCAAGCAATCCCGCCCCACAAATTGGTCCAAGCTGCCCCATCAACGTCTTTGCCTGTGGAGAAGCCTGCATCCCTGATCATGCTGGCAAATTCCGGTTGCGGAGGGAACTTTCGGATTGACTCGACGAGATACTGATAAGATGCGCGATCTCCAGCAAGGATTGTGCCCATGAGAGGGATCATTGTGAACGAATACTGGTCGTACGCCCTGCCGACATCATAAGAGCCGCTGCCAATGAACAGAATGCGCGACTCACAGGCTCAGAAGCGGGTTGTTCACCTTGCTGAATTCAAGGCACGCAAATGTACCTCCTGGCTTCAAAACGCGGTAAGCTTCTCTCAAAACCGCGGGAATCGAGGTACAATTGCGGATCCCGAAAGCGATTGTGTACAAATCATAGCTGTTGTCCGCAAATTGTGTGGCAGGAAGATCTTGCGCATTTGCTTCGTGGAACGAGATTTGGGGAGCTGGAGCAAAGTTAAATCGTTCCGTCCCGCAGGAGACCACGTACTGTTATGATACATCGTCTTTTTGAATCGGCGATAGCCTTCCTTGAGCATTTCCGCGTTGATGTCAACAACTTCGACCGTCGTTTCCCGGTCTGCGTATTTCTCTCGTGCATGGTCTAAGATGCCGAGCGCAATGTCTCCAGTTCCACCCGCGACATCAATACACCGCAAAGGGCCGCGTCGACCAGGGCGCAGGTCAGAGATGAATGTGTCCTTCCAGAGCCGATGAATACCAAGAGAGCTGGCGTCATTCATGAGGTCGTATGAAGAAGCCACCGAGTCGAAGACGTTCTTGACCATAGACTCTTTTTCATCCTCCAGCACCGTTTGGAAGCCGAAAGAAGTTGTTCGCGGAGGGGAGTCTGGCGTGGGCTGCGAATTGTGCGTCCCAATAGACCTTGCGCTTACGCCGGCATGGCGCAAGGGAAGGCCCAAAGAGCGCGAAACTGCAAGACATCGTCGCGAGAGCATATTCAGTACGAGATCACGTGAGCTCTCTCGCGTAAAGACACTTTCCAGGTCACTTGCCATCTGTGTTCTCCGTGACAGTCCAGTTCAAGTTGCTAGGGACTAACGAGACCAGAGCCGGGTTTCATTTCGACCAGCGCTCTCGCCGACCCAGCAAAGTCGTCCCAACTTAGCTATGCTTCCCCTACATACCCGACAGCTCACCGGAGGCCCTAGGAAACAGCACATTCTATCTTCGCAAAGTCTCAAAGTCCTCTACCGTCGACCTGCGCTGCGCTGCCTTCCCTATATCTTCGTCTCACTCGTATTGGTGTACATATTCGCGACCCATGTCCTCGATCGCGCTCCGCGTTTGATCGAGTACTCTCCGAAACGAGTGACCGTGTCCAACAATAGTGTGGTATACGACGAGCCTTCCGTGACGTCTCAAGTGCTTGCGGCCCGTGCACAAAAGATCAAGGATGCGTATGTGCATGCGTACTCGGGTTATCGACGGGACGCGTGGGGATACGACGAGCTGAAGCCGCTCACGGAAACCCATGTCAACAAGTGTGTCGGTTTCTTCCTTCTCTGGATAATACTTACATGCTTTCAGTTTCAATGGGTGGGGAGTCTCTGTCATCGACTCATTGGACACGATGTGGATCATGGGCCTCCACGACTTCTTTGAAGAGGGTATCACCTGGGTCAAAGACTTGACATTTGACATTCCGACGGGAGAGTTTGTCCCTTTCTTCGAGACCATCATCCGCTATCTCGGTGTGCATCCCCAATACTCTCCTAATTGTGTCTCGTAACTGCCGACCAGGTGGAATGCTCTCCGCGCACGCTCTTTCCGATGAACCCATCCTGCTGACCAAGGCCAGCGAGCTGGGAATGATGCTTATGCCTGCATTCAACACTCCTTCAGGTCTACCGATGTATGCTGTAAACCCGCAGACGTAAGCACGTTCTGGACAACATCTTTGCGATTTTAAACGTGGGATAGCGGAGATGTTCGCAAAGGTTGGACCGGATCTGTGCTATGGGCAGAAGCTCTGAGCAATCAAATGGAATAGTACGGGCTCTATTGTTTGCTCGGAGCTGTCTCTGATCGTTCACAGCAAATATCTGGCACACCTCACTAATCGCCCGGACTTTTACGACAAGGTTGGTCTTGCGTTGGCGGGTTCCATGCCTGGGCTCATCAGATCAGACTGAGAAAATCATGGATCTCATGTACCGGAGCACGATAGACAAAGGGCAGTTTCCTACGCAATGGGATTCTATCACTGGCAAACCCACCAACAACCAATTCTCCGTGGGTGCATATGCTGACAGTGCCCACGAATATCTTTTGAAGCAATGGCTTCTCACGAGTCAGTCTGAGCCCAAGGCCAGGACAATGTGTGAGCATCTGTTTTGTTTTGTTTCTTTACTCGCCCTCATGGGGAGAATAGACCTAGATGCTGTTCAGGCAATCATCGACAACTTGCTCTATCTGACACCGAACCGAGAGCTCTTGTATGTGACCGATACCAACGGTGGCGTCCCCAGCTGGAAGTTCGAGCATCTTTCGTGTTTTCTCCCGGGAATGCTTGCCCTCGGTGTTCACACTCTCGATCTCCCGCACGAAACCAAGGAATTGCATTCATGGGCTGCTGACGGTATCGCCACCACGTGCTGGCTGTCGTACGCGGACCAGGCCAGTGGGCTTGGGCCTGACGAGATGATTATGGATCACCCGCAGTCTGGCTACCAGTCGCTCAAGTGGACGACGCGCCTGGCAAGCTGGAAGGCAGAAGGAAAGCCGGGTGGATCGCCGCCTGGTCTTGGTCCCAAAGCCCCGGCACGAAAGGCGAGGGATTATGTTATTGACAAGTCAGCGTACTTGCTGCGGCCCGAAACGCTGGAGAGCTTCTACATTCTCTGGAGAACCACTGGCGCTGAGGTTTGGAGAGATCGTGGATGGTATGCGATATAGTGATCCCCCCAACAATGCGACACTGATGTTCGGCAGGTCTATCTTCGAAGCCATCGAGAAACACGCGAGACTCAAGACAGGTTATGCGAGTGTTCAGCATGTTGATAAGATTCCAGTCAGCCATTTGGATGAAATGCCCAGGTGAGGGACTTTTTTGGCTCTCCTTGTCCTATCGCTGACCAGCTTAGCTTCTTCCTTGCGGAAACGCTCAAATACTTATATCTCATGTTTGTTGGTCAAGACATCGTGCCTCTGAGCCAATGGGTCTTCAATACCGAAGCTCACCCGCTGCCCATATTCGAATGGTCGTCGCGAGAACGGTCGATGTACAGGATACCACCCGAAGCTCATCTTTCTAGCAACTCAAGCACCCCTTGATCCGATTGTAGCAATATCCTCCATGTAGCATACATTTATCTCATCCTCAATGCATCACTGCTAGATCTATTTGCGTCTATTGACTTGCGCCGCTGAATGGTTTCCTTCACACTGTTATCGTTATGATATTGTCAGGCTGACACATCGCCCCACGCCAGCACCTTGCGCCCACTCCAAGAGATTCCAACTCAAGCTTCGGAACGCTACTGATGGTGTTGTCGCGGTCCGAACGTGGCGCGCTTGCACGCAAGACAAAAAACCAGCACATACCCGTGGTCCTGAAGGCATCGGCTCGCGCTAGAGCTGGCATCAGCTCTTCGAAGCTCCTTCGCGACCTCAAAGCCTCACCAAGCGACTCACCCGGCGCAGCTCTGCCCCTCATCTCTGTGATCGAGGCGGATACTCTACAAGCAGCTTTCCCTCTAGCCACAGATGGCAACGGCAAGGTCGCGATACTCTCGATGGCTTCCGAGCTTCGACCTGGCGGTGGATTTCTGTCCGGGGCGAACTCCCAAGAAGAAAGCCTTTGCATGCGGACCACACTGTATCCGGCGCTGAGAGACGACTTCTACCGCCTTCCAGATGTTGGTTGCATCTATACGCAAGATATCTGCGTGTTCCGGGGTACATACCCTCCCGGCGGCGAATCCACGGCACCAGGCGCGGAAGTCAACCCACCCTCTCAGTGGTGGTTTGTCGATGTCATCTCGTGCGCTGCAGTGCGCGGACCGGATGTGGACGACAACGGCCTGTCCTATGCAGTGGACCAGCAGCGCGACCTCATGCGAGAGAAAGTCAAGTGCATTTTCCGAGCTGCTGCCTCTCAAGGATGCAGACGTCTCGTTCTCGGTGCGTTCGGCTGTGGGGCGTTTGGGAACCCACCAAATGAGGTGGCACTGCTCTTTCGAAGGGCACTGCTCGGAAGAGAGGGCAGGGCATCTGAGTTCGCAGGTTCATTCGACGAGGTTGTTTTCGCCATCAGGGGCGGTAGGCAAGATACATTGTCTACTTTTCGGTTTGTCCTCGATGTGTAATGAAGGACATCATTGCTCTGTCCTGAGATATGAGCAACTACAGTCGTTCATGACAGTTAGGAGTCAAATGGTGTCATCAGTCTCGATTGATCTCATCAATGTCGAACTCAAAAAGATTGACTTAACATCTGCTACCGTGTTATCATTCTAAACTCGATGTCTGACGGAAACGACAAGGGCAAAGGGAAAGAACGCGCTCCATGTACCTCTTTCCCACCAAGAGATTTGCCTTCTCTAATGGTGAATCCAGCTGCCAGCAACACTGAAGATGTTTCCGACGAATATTTGCTCTCGTTGCTGAACAAAGCTCGCGAGAAAGCCCGCGCTGAGAAACAAGCGCTACCTGAAGAAGAAGTCATTTCAGTGATGACCGAGGGAGATGTCTCCAAACTGTCGGTATGATCATTCGCCAGTGCGTGCGGGAGATATGACAATTTCTAGCACTCCGCTGAGACCGAAAGACTTGCCGACTCCCTATTTTCAACTGGGGAAGAAGAAAACCGACGTAGCCGTGCTCCGAGATCCAGATGCTGAAGCTGCTGAGCGGGCCGTATCTTCGTTTTCGGTGCCCGCGCCTCCCGTTGCCCCTTCCGAGTTGACGAAATCTGGGAAACCACTCACTAAACGCGAGCGAAAGCAGGTGCGCTCGAACGATCCGATATACTGGGTTCTCTTTTGATTGTGTCTAGCTCCGCAATAAAACAGCCGGACCTGATTGGTTCGACCTGCCAGCCCCGGCGGAAGCAGACCTCCCGCGACTCTATCGCGAAGTCGAGGCACTGCGCCTGCGAAATCAGCTTGATCCAAAGCGATTCTACAGAAAGGAGGAAGGAGAAAGCAAGGGAATCAAGGGTCTTCCGGAGTTCTTTGCGGTGCGTTCGTTCGACACCTGCGGCAATTTCTCATCCAAAATCTCAGATCGGCACCGTTGTTTCCACTTCTACGCCATTTGGGACCCAATCTTCGGACAACCTCACTCGCGCGGAGAGAAAGCGAACCCTGGTGGACGAATTGGTTGATGATGCCGAAGCGAAACGATACGCCAAGCGCAAGTTTGAGGATCTGCAGACCGTCCGCGGCGCGAAAGGTCGGAACACGTTGAACGCGAAAAAGGCGGCGCGGAGACCAAAGTGGTGATTGTATATACGCATACATGTATCTCAGCCTCCCAAGCGCACACTCTTGACCACTTTGGAGATACCCGACCTCTCTCCGTCGTACCGGCCCGTGTCTGCCAGCCCGCCTTTGAACACAGCCTTCTGAGATGCGACCTTTCTTTTGGCCTTGCTGTATTGCTCGCGCTTTTTGACACGCGGATTTCGGGAAGCCTTTGCTCGTCGAGGGGTGAGACCCTTGTTTTTGAGGATGGCCCGGGTGAGTGAACGAGGGCCTTCGACGGCATCGGCCGAGAAGTCTGGTCTGCCCATCCATGCAATTGAGTTCGACAGGATATGATCGGAGCTGGTTCACGCACCTAGCGGCCTCGACTGCGGCTTCATATTCCTCTTTCTTACGCTCTTTTTTCTGCTTCGCTTTCCGCTTGACCAGATCGTAGTATCCGTCCGCATCTTCGGCCTCGGCTCTTTCCTCTGCCCTCGGCTGAGGTTCGGCATCGTCCAGGTCGTCTCCGAGCGGTCGCTGAACCACGGCCTTGGCCTTTCTTGTCTCGCGGTAGGGTATGTCGTCGTCACCTCCCAAAGCATTGGTTCGAGCGCCTTGCCGTCTCGCACTGGCGCTCTCAATCTTCGAGGTGTGGAAGCGCAGAGTCTTCTTCCGCGCAGATTTGTCAGCTGCATCAGCGTGCTGGAGAGCAGTTGCTTCTCCATACGCATCGCCTGCGGACGAGTCCGAGCGACGCTGGGTTCCGACGGATGTCGTGAACTCAGGCTCAACGAGATCGAATACAGGAGCAGCCGGGCCCTTGGCAGCAGTCTTCCTCTTCTTTTTGGGTCTCACTGGTTCTTCCAGCTCGGACTCTGATTCTTGCTCGCCAGCATCATCAAGCAGGTCGCGCAGCTCGTCTTGTTCGAGACCGAGTAATTTGTCATTAGCCCAGAGCTGCTCCGCGTCCATGAACGTGTCCTCATCTGAGTCCTCGAGGGACTCGATTTCAGAGTCTGAGGCAGCGAAATCGAGCTCTTCTAGCGTGCTCAATGACTGTTTGAGTGTGAGCAGCCGTGCCATGACGGGATGCTTTCGAAGCTCTTCAGGCCGGCGTTGGTACTTCTGACTGGATCGGATATGGATGTAGAAAGTCAGCGCAGTTGCATAGGCCAACAGAGTTTCTGTAACATGCTGTCAACTTCCGCAGAGAGAGAATACGTGAAGTGACTCAACGGTAGTGAAGGTGTATCATGCCCAAGCTAAGAGCATCTGGGTCATCAGCCTCAGCCCTAGAACTGGTTAGAAATGAATTTCACGACAGGATGGTTTGGGATGTACTCGGCGATCTTTCGACGCGCTTTGACTAGGTTCTCGGCCGTGTCCTCCCAATCACGCACGATAGCAAGCGTCTCTGGGCAAGTTTTCTCCAAATGCCGAAGCAGAGCCTTAGGGTCTTCAGGTAAGGGCTCGGCTTCAGCGACCATATCCATAGCGGAGGATTCATCCCTTGGACATGTGAGAAACAGTGCACGCGATCGAAGCCCAAAGCTCACAGATCGAAATGCTCGGAGACATCGCCCAAACCGAAGTCCCCATCATCCATATCGTCTCTAGCTTTATCTTGGAGCCGTTTCGCCTCTTGTTCCTCGAGTTCATTGGCCTCTTCATCGTCCGAGTCTATCTGAGCTGCGTTCGATGAGTAGTACGCCGAACGCCCTCGGCCCCAAGTCTCCTCCTCCTCGTCTTCCTCCTCTTCCTCTGAGTCGGTATCAGCTTTCGCCTTCTTTGTCTTTGCCTTGCGAGACGGTTTCGCAGATGCGGTGTGTTGGCCCACTGTGTCCTGCTCATCTTCCATGTCCTCGCCATCGTCATCGTCACTGCCGTCCAGGTCTAAAGCAAATACTTCGTCATCGTCGCCGTCGTCGTTGTCGTCAACCGCCTCGTCTCCGTCCAATAGAATTCTATCTCGAGAAGCCTGGACTGCACATATGTTAGGCTGAGCACAGACAAGCCTCTGGATATATACATTGATCCTCCTCGTCCATAGGAATATCCGAGACTTTCTCCCATCTTTTGATTTTGCTCTCGTCCCGGTTCACAGGCCGAGGCTTGCCAATCGTTTTCTTGGGTCGTCGAGGCATGAAGAAAGTTTGCGATCACTTCGCACAGCCACTGAGTGTATGTGGATCATTGTATGTGATTTATAATGAGTCTTGGTTTGCGGCCAGTGGTACAATGTTCCAAATGCATATTTCGAATAAGTAATAGCGTACAATAGTCTAAGGCCCCATTGGTGCAGCATCCTCATGGCAACAGAAGACATCAAGAAGAGAAGATGCCCACAATCTTGAATGCAGGCACACTCTGACCCTCTTCACCCATCAGCTGGCACTCAACGAAATGGGAGCCTCGGGATACGAAATGATCGATATAGAACAGTCTGTTATCGGTTAGCAAGGGTCGAATGCAGAGAGAACATGAGACTTACGCGGCGGTTGCCTCGGGAACGTCCGCTGCGTTTTCGACGGTCCTGGCTCCAGCGTAGTTGTCGTCGACCCAGCATTCGACGGCACTTCCCTCTCCCACAGTGTTAATCGGCTCTTTGATATAGTATATGCCGATGTCGCCAGCGCCGACCTGGACAGGAACGCGCATTTTGCTCGTCGGGAGCGTCGAGTACCAGTAGTGTGCCTTGTTGCTTTGCAATGCGCCCGTCCCACCGGGAGGATGGAATGCATGCCAGCCTGAGCCATAGAACAAAGACACAGGCAGCGGGTTGATCAAATCGTGTGCCGAGACGCAGAAAGGCGCCAGTTCTTGGAACGGTCGAGCATCGTTTGGTCGCGTAGCGATCCGAGCACGAGGAATGCGGAGTGAAGGATGGAACAAGTTAGAAGTGGGAGGTAGGTCTGCTAACTTGCCGCTATCGTCCGACCCAGCTTCATCTTCTGGAACACCCTTGCGCAGACCAACGCCACCAAAGAGTCCATGCGTGTCTCCCGCTGGCTGATCGAATGTTGTGCGAGCTGGAACCACGTCATATGCTGCCCCAGATGCCACAGCCCACGCAGTGCAAATCTGCGACTGGAGATACGAAATGAGGGCGTCGGCGATGAGTTCGTGTCCCCGGGGAGATGCAAGAACAGGATCCACGTAATACTTCGAGATAACGGCGTCAGGGTCCTGCATGTACTCTGGGTACACGAGAGCTTTGGCACTGATATGGGGAACGTCGTAAAATTGGGCGACAATGTTGTGATAATGGTCCGGCCCAGCAAATCCGTAGGCGGTGTGGATTTGGGGGCTGAAATGACCGAGGATAAGGACGGCGGGAAGATCAGGACGGATGAGGATAGACCGCACGAGAACCTCGAAGTCTTCAAGTGCTTGTTGGTCTGCACGGTCATCAGAATCAAGCTCAATTATGACGAGATCTGTATGGTCGGGAATATGGTGTGCGCTGCAGAATGCGAAATATTCCGAGCTCGTCCGACGCATAGCGCCGTTAGTGAGTTCGGAGGCGGGATGGGGGAAGACAGAGTTCCACCATTGGAAGAACCGGGAGGGATAGCACTTCGGGGAAATTGGATCATCACCAGCACCATGGCAAGAGGATACTGTCCAGAAATGAGCGAGGAAGACGTGAAGGAGAGACTGGACGCACTAGAGCCCCCTATGATGCTAATGGTTATAGGCTGTCCAGCTAACGCCCTGTTCAAAACATGCTGGATGCGGACACCACTCCCCAAATGCAGCCGGGTTTTCCCAAGAGGAGTTGCACCGTGCTTGGAACCTATTTCGTCCCCTGGGCCGTAGATCGGACAAAAGTCAAATGGGTTTGGCCCAACCTCGGACGCATTGAGGTAGTTTTTGGGCGTGAGCCCAAGACTCGAGAATGCGTAAGTCGGGGTATGGGTGGTCGGGAGAACGAAATGAGTGAAAGTGAGCAAGAATACGAAGAGGGCCAGTATGAGCCAGATACGATTGGTGACACCGAGACTGCGTTGATTTAAACGCGAAACCTCTTTTTCGGAGGACATGGACGACGACGACGAATGGCGAGAGGGCAGAGTTGGGCTAATGCCCTTTCTTCGATGCATGAAGGCGAAGGATTTGCCTCTATTTGAGCTAGTGTCACTGGCGGTCACCACTCTTCGCTCACTCTGACACTCGGAATTGACAGCGGAGAACTTGCTGTCACCTGATGGGATGATCTAACGCGATCACGTGACATAGATGTGACTTGAAGTGTCAGGATGTCTCGCCCCGAAAGGTTTTCACTAGAGCGTGGTTCTAAACTTCTTTCTGTGCTCCTCATAGCTAAGTCTCAATGCTCTTGCAGTCGATTTCAATACATATCTCTCACGTCGTTGCTGTGCTTTGTCCTTGGAGGGCGGATCAGGGGCGCATCGGGAAGAGCGTGAAGGTAAGCTCCCATCCTCACCTGGTTCGGATGAGTATCGTTCCACTTGCTGAGTGCCTCTAGACCACCGGTTGGTGTCAGAGTCCAGACCGGATCTGCTACGCCGTATCGGCAATTGGCGACGAGGGCGACTACATGTATTATCAGGACAGAGTTGGGTGTGGAAAGCTCCATGGATCCCCTTCGTTGATTCGCTAGGGATGGCTGGAATGATCCATCGAACAATTGCGGGAGCGGCACGCGTGTCATGCGCGTCAATCGGTGATGGAACTTGGATTTGATGGCCGCCCCGCGCAATCTTCTGAATTCACTTGTTACGAGACTTTCAGGCGGATAGGCATTAGAGCTTGCTTGAGCTCGTGAATTCCGCTGAGACTCTCAGATCTAACGCCACTCATATGTACCGCTCGCATACGAGACTGATCAAAGACTGCGCATTTTCTTCTTCGAAGATTGGTCGTTAGAACGGATATGGTAAGGCAACGGAATAACGCTATGTGCGGACCCGTTCAGGCCAACGACCCACTGGTCACATCAAGTGCTGCCAGAAGTCTCTCATGGGCCAGCACGGTCACGTGATACCCCGAAACACGTCCCTTGCTCATTGCTTTCGTGCGTTCTAATTGATTGTTCCACGAAGACATACCTATCGTTTAGATCAACTCAAAACAGGCAGAATGAGAGCGCGTCATAGTCATGAAATTGCGGGATTGATGTGAACGTGCTGGATCCGGAGCCAACTTTGGCCTATGAAATTCAAACAGCAATTCAGGGGGAGTACGGCTGGATTTCGGGATGGCTTAGCGAACCCGATACCCCGAATGAGCAACAGCCTGTACGGCCCGCCGCGGTCGACGTGATGCGGGACACAAGCCATTATCTTTACATTTATAGGCATCCATCGAGGGAGGAAGGGCGGGCATTAACTGAGATGTGAGTGTCGCAAGAGTCTTTGTATTGGATCCAATCAAGGACGGGCAAGAAAATACGAGAAAGGAAAGAGACTGAGCTTGACCCATGTGCGAGATCCCATGTGCACCAGAGCCAGAATGTTCCAAAACTGGGTGGAACAAGAAAAGGATCATTGCCGACGCGGGGAGCTCAGTACCACGATCAGTCTCCTTCCGCACGTCCACAGTAACCCCGCGAACTAAGCCGCAAAGAATTCTCGACAGCAAATAACAAGAATTGCCCGCGGGAGACTTTGAGGTAGTTGCCGGTTTCGTACTTCATTGCCGCGGAAGCCCACACATTGCACAAGACGGCAACAAGCTGCAACGCGTGGCCTAGCTTATACACAGTTCTTCCCGACTTGAAATTAAGAATTGAGTTAGGCGGAGTGCAAAACACGAGGAGAAGAGAACGGTAATGTAAGTGAGTGCGTCGAAAAAAGCAGGCAGCAGAAAAGAAAGATTGGGGCACTGAAGTAAGAGAACAGATGGCATAGGCACCAACGTGGTGGAGTTGCGGGAGATGATGCTAAGGAGCCGCTGCGACACAGAGGTCATTATTCAATCAACAGACCAAAGAAGGTGGCCTCATGGCAGAGGATATCAGGTCGTGTTTGCTCCAGGTAGCGATCGCATTTAGAATCCGGATGATAATCCTGGAAAGGACAAATTGTTTCAGAGACATTCACCAACGACAAGTGAGTACCAGAATGATAGATGGGATGAGCAGTCCCACACATGTACAGTATTCGGCTGTCATTGGTGAAATTGGCTGATGAGCGGCGATTGCGGATAGTTGCGCAGGCCTTTGGTATGGAAAAAAGCTCGGACGTAAATAATAAGGGCTGAGATGAGATGAGGAGGGAAACGACGTAAGAGGAACAAGAGATGAGAGTAGAGAACAAGGGCACAAGGGGTTTTTGTCCGGATCTGGTCTTGGATCTGATCATCGCTTTTGTTGTTGCATGCCGATTTGAAGGCAGGCCAGGTCTGCCTCAAGCCTGAGGTAACCTCGGTTTATACGTGGGCTGCTTGGCTCAGACCTCGCTTCTCTGACTTCTTTCAATCCACCGCACGCTTTATACGACGCACAACGTGGGTCTAGTGTGTCATTTTCCCCTCACCGCCCATTGTTTTGACCTTGTCCAGATGCAAGCCCAGCCCAACGCCGCAGTGTTCTGCGATTTCTCGGCGCAGAGTTGGCAGACCATGTACAATGGTCAGGGACCATATGCGACGGATGGGACCTTCCAGACGGTGGATTCGAGCGCAGGGCCGAGTCGCGTCCTCACCCGACGTCAGCGTGCGTTGGCCCATGAGCATCGTCCGTACGATATCCAGGCACGCCTCTTCAGTCCTTCTTGCTCTCTTATGCTGTACTCATCTTACTTCAAGCGTGCGACCATGTACATGCCAAATTCTGCCTCTCGCCCTCAGACTCCGCCCAATTCGGGCATGGAGGCGAGTATCGCTCATCACGACTTCAATCAAGCCCAGACAAGACGCGAGTTCACCCCTTCTGGGCTTTCTCCTCTCAGCATGCCGCAGGGAATGCAATCGCCTTACAACAATCCACTCACGCCCTCTACGACTTCTTCACCTTACACTACCTACAGTTTCTTTGGACATTCTCGTGCCAACTCCCTTTCCGCAGCGACAAATCGCGCAGCATCTCCGGCGCTCAGTACTGTCTCCGCGCTGACGTCCGTGTCATCGGCATCAGCTCCGACCAGAGCGCCCAATAGCACGAGCTCCTCCTCCTCCTTCGGTCTCTCTTCCACTTCTGGCTCTCCGCTCTCTGGATCCGCGAGCACCAGCGCGTCGGCCAGTCCGCAACTCGGTCCGCTACGCCAGAAACAAAAAAAGCAGCGCCTCTTCAACATGGATAGAAAAGCCATTTGTGAATACGCTGTACGCCATCCCACCGCTCGGCAGGAGGACATCGCTCGTCAATATGGTGTTGAACGCAGCACCATTAGCAAGATCCTGAAGAACAAGACAAAATGGTTAAATGTCCCTGTCGATGAGGAACTGAAGATTGCCAAGCACAGGTGAGTCTTTGACAACTCGTGTTTCGATTGCCGATGCTGACCCCATTGAAGGCCGTCCAAGTTTCCTGAAATCGAAACGGATATGATGGATGTGCTGCTTGCCGCTCGGGACAACAACGCTCCCCTGACTGATGCCTTCATCCGGATCAAGGCTCGCGAAGTCGCCCTGAAGTTAGGCATCGGTGAAGACCGTTTCAAAGCCAGTGCAGGATGGGTGGAAAATTTCAAGCATCGGCACGGTATCAAGGGTGGAATCTGGTCCGGACATGGGCGAAATGTTCGCGCGGCTGCCAGTCGTGGAGCTGGGCTCGATCCCATTCTGCTGGGAGGTCCGCTACCTGTCTCTCGTCCACGGCACTCTCCAGATCCAATGGATCCATCGACGGAGATTCCAGCTACTGGCCCATCCTGGCTGATGGCGCCGGTCGAGCCTCCACCTGGTGTACATCCTTCTTCGGCGCCTGTCTCTCAAAGTCCCAATACACCGGATGAGATAGCGCCCGTTGTCGATGCAGCCAGCTGGATGATGTCGAATGCACCGCCGCCTCCGTCGCACGATGATCCGGGCAACCTTTCGGGATGGTTGACGCAGTCGGAGAGCGCACAATCTTCTGTCGACGAAGCTGCATGGATTTCTCCCAACCATAACGGTGAGATGGCAGCCGATCAGCTGTCGTCGAACCAACACTCGGCAAATGCACCATGGCCCATGCAGCAGACCACGAATGACGACGAGCAGCCCCCCTCGAAGGCCCACGCCAATCTGGCTTTCAACTTTGTCACGGATTATCTGAGGCAATGCGGGCAGGAACTTGATCCTCAGCTAGCCGCTGCGGTGTCTACAGCCATCTCCCGAGGGGGGAACTGAACCTGCGACTAAAAAGAGCAACAGAGTTGCCTCGGTGTTCATTTCGACACGTTCTTTCTGCATGCATTTCTCTCCCGCTTTCGATCTCACCACATCATGCATCCTCATCACATAACGCTCTATCCTCATGCATCTCCTTGCTGTCATCTCATCGTTATCATCCCATCTGTCGCATATTTAGTGTGTGTAGTCTGCCAAGGACGCTTTGTGTTTTGGAGAGCCGATCCAACGCCTGTTCCGATCCATCTAAATGTACAACAAATTCGACTTGACTTGCAACGTTACGCTACCGTGAGTAGACGGAATAGTCGGCGCTTTCATACATCTCTGCGTCCTGAATTCCATTTCCCGTGCTTTCTTCCATCTGGGCGTCCGGAGCCACTAAGCTGTTGGCCATGTGCTGCAGCTCCGCCTCGCCGGCCCGCACCTGCGTGTAGACCCGGCGCATCTCCGTGGCTTGTTCGCCGGCTTCCTCGTACGAGGAACTGTACTGGCGCAAGCCCTCGATGATATTCGACACCTCCGGTCGGCCGAGCCGAGCCAAGAGATTCCCTGACTGGATACAGCTAGCGAGCATCACTGCAGGGTCCAGTCTCTGCACCCGGAATTCAGTATGCAGCAAACAGACCATAAAAAGGAAGATGATCCACCAGATAGCCATTCGAAGTCAACACCGCGGCCTGTCCCATGCTCAGACACGCTGCTGAAATCGATCAACGGGGACTCACAAGACCGGCTATCCGCAGGGCTCCGTGTAAAGCCTCCTCTGCAACCTTGCGCTTGACCATATCTATTTGCGCATGATTGGGGACCATGGTAACGGGCTGGTTCATCCGTGTGACCTCATTGATCTCCTTGATTCCGAAGTCGTCGAGCGCCATGAAGAGGATAACCCACATCACGTGGTACGTCGCATCGCTGGCACACGAGGACACGGCCGACACGAAGTCCCATTCACCTTCAAAGTTGCTGGGTACTCCCACTATCGCCAGGAAATCGTCGCGCCACGTGCTGAGAGCAGATGTTAGCATGTAGAGCACCTCAAACGGGACCCCGTCCGATTCTGTTGACGGTCGCCAGAGATTACGAGAAATCTGACGGGCCGTGCGGGCGAGAGAGTGCGCAGCACGATAGTAGCCCTGCGACCACAGTCAGTGGCGATAACGTGCTTCTGTGCATGGCATACTAGAAACTAGAAGACGCTCAGAAGAGAAACCCGATCAATAGTTTTATAGGTACCTCGAGCTGCTCCCTAGGATCTGTGCGAGAGTCGCCACCTTCCGCGTTGATAGGATCCACAGTGTAAAAGTCAATGTCGTAATCATCGTCGTCCAGGACAGGCTTGTGGCGATAGAATACAGACCCATAGGCGTCCGCTGGACTAGAAGGTCAGGGCATCTTTGACAGAAACACCAGCACACACCGATGCAGGCCATCCAAAACGCAAAGATCATGGTGCCTCGGGCGTCGGGACTGAGACGTATATTAGTTGCCGATCATGAAGGGCAAATGTAAGGGCTAACTCGGAAATGGTCGTTAGGACCGACTTGTGATTCACCTAGGACCATTCATGGGTAAAATTATGACAAAAGAATGATCTGGGCACTGACCTGAAGGTCTAGCAGGTGGCGAGTAGAAGCACTGACCCAGAAACAGTGGAACCCTGCACTCCATCAGCCAAAGAATGAATATCTGCCAGTCAACACACGGTTGGGATCCTCAGGATTCTCTGTCAAGAGAATTAGACAACACAACGCAGGAGCGAGGAGTGTCACGTACGGCTTTGCAAAGGTTCCAGCAGCAGCCCGATGACCACATGATCCGATGTTGGAAGTCGATGGACTTTGAGCGCCTCGGCCAGATCTCGGGCTCGATCAACAAGCGCCTTGGCTAGCAGACTTTGGTTGCCAGGTCGCCGTCGATCGGCTACAAGTAACGGGTGTTCTGAGAATTTGGTGCCCCATGCGATCACAGTCGCCACAAGTGCTGGATGTAAAACGTCTTCTGCGCAGACCGGTTCGCCAACGAGGCGTAGATTGTCGCGGAATTGTTGGGGGTTGAGGAGTGGAATGCGAGTGTGGACGATCTGGAAGAAAACTTCCACAAGATCGAGAGCGAATCTGCAACAACAACATTCTGAAATGGTCCTACCATCTCCAAGAATCCACTTACTCCACCTTGAACGCATCGTTCTCCAACTTGTGAGCAAGCTCGCCCCACAGTGCATATGGTGCTTGAGGGCTAGACGAGCAAGGATATCAGAGTATATCCCGATGGAAAGGTGCGATTCACTTGTGGTGGACAGGTGGTGCAAATATATAGTCGAGGACTTCCCTCGAGGGTGTCCTGCGATTGATGGCAGGGTAAAACCCGTACTGTACCAAGAGCGGCAGGGGACTCGGAGGCTTTGGTGCTGAAGGCGTCGGAGGCAACGATCCATTCTCTGTCGTAGGCGATGTGCTAGATCGCACAATGATATCAGAGATGATCAAGTAGTTGGGGACGATACACTTGCATCTTTTGAGGCACCGGGGAAGGTGGACTAGCAGGGTGTTCAATAGGAGATCGCGCGAGAACTTGGACAGCACAGGGAACACACCCGGCAGATGATACGTTTCTCGGTCTCCTCGACACATTGGAGCGCTTCTTCTCGCTGGTTGCCTGCTGTACAAAGTGCCTGCAACGGTGTGTCATAGAGCGTATCCTCGCAAATGAAGGCTAGGCCACACACGTGCACGGATAGTTCTTCGATAAACAATGCTACGAACGGCGTCGGCAACACAATAGATTATTCGTTTCCCCAAGTCTGACCTGACACTTAGAATCGTGTGTCAGCCTGTAGAACGAGATAGAGCGCGTAATCGCCTCACTTTCTCTTGCCCGTCGAGTCTATTGCATTTGACCTTCCGAGATCTACAAGCGTCGCATGCGGTATTCTGCTTGCGTGGCGGAGGGAGCGTTTTGGCAAGCTCGTGGATCTGATTCTGCATCGAATGGGAGGGCAGTGCGAGCGCAGATGGGCCCAAATGAGAAGAAGTTGAGGAGTCAGAGGGACGGAAATTGTTTTGCTGTTGCATAGCGCTTCAGCGATGAAGGCCGAGGACCAGAGGTGCGAGATTCTTGTGGGGGCAGCAAGTACTTGTAGGCAAATGCCGCCAAGGGATTGAAGCAATAAATACGCGTGGCACTGCCACCCGTTGACGACCTTCGTGACGTGACTACTTGTCACCCGGCTCCGAGACCGAGCCTGGAGCCAACAGTTTTTTGCTTACCACAGTCAGTGTTCACTTGTGCTTACTTCCAAACCAACTCACACAGAGTCATATCTCTATCAGCCTTGTGATACGTCTGCATCATCATCATGGTCAAGGTCGAAATTGTCGATGAACGCGAGTCCAACTCTCCATATGGCTCACAAGCCTCCTCCCGGAACTCGTCACAGACTTCCCTTTCTTCGGTCTCCTCCGAACTAGAACCAGAATCCGTCTTCGAGCGCATCTCCGCCCTTGTCGACATTGTCCCTCCCACCACCCGGCATGCCATCACTGAGCGAGTCTCGAAGACAGCCTCCTTCGTGAAATGGGGCACCAAACGCGTCGGAAATCTCGTGTGGATTGTTACCACATCTGCGCTACTCGTCGCACTGCCTCTGGCCCTTGTTCTCGAAGATGAAGCAAAAATAGTCGCCCAAGAGCGCGAACTGATGGAACAGCAGCAAGGACAAGCACAGGTGTGTCCTGGCATCCGTTTTCTCGACGTTTCTCACTCCTTCAGATGCTTGGATCCTCGGCTTATCCGCCACCGAACCAACCCAAAGGCTTGGTGCCGCCTGGTTTCTAAGCCATGGGGCATGTGCTCCCACCCACCGTTTTCTCACGATCAAAACTCCCCACTCAGTGTGTCGCCCACTCGCCGAAGCGCAGCAGGAACAATCACAGCCTGATAGTGCAATCGAGCTAATGCCATTAATGTATCTAATACACACGCTTTCATCGTATTCTATGCCTATGGAGATTTCAGTTCGCGGCGAAGGGACATCTACCGACCGGCGAAGCTCACCAGGGATGGCCGCGTTGGGTAAGAAACAGGGGCAGTGTAAGTGTCGGTCGAACGATACCGACGCAGATACTTGAGGGCAAGAGTTTCGACTTCTGCCGGGCTTATTCCCAATTCTGCCCAATCTCCTGCGGTTTGAACATCATCCATGAAGCGTCTTGTGACCTCGTCAGGGCTCATCAAAGGCCACCAAACAAGCTGGAGAGCCTTTGCCACGGACGTCGCAATGGCTCGGGGCAACTCGGGTGCGTAGGAATGGAAAGATCGGATTGTCACGGCAGAAACGAGATCCACCAAGTACTCATAGTTCAGAGTAGACGGGCCAGGAAGCGACAAGGTCCTTGAAGCCAGCTCAGGCGTAGACATCAGCTTGGCCAGTGCTTCCGCAACATCGATGACCTGCCACTGATGTCAACGCTGCTCAGAGAACAAAGATAAGAGGTCTCACATGGGCGGGCCGAACCTGCGTTTTACCGGAATTCAACTTCCACCACCATGGGGAGACTGGACGTCAGAATGAAAAGCTGGGCATGCTGCGGATTGCCTCATGACGCACTAGCAATGCTGTTCAAAAACTTGTCTTCGAAGCCGTACAGAGCACCAGGTCTGACTATGGTAGCGCTGGGAAAAGCTGCTTTGACCCGTTCCTCGCCGAGCGCTTTCGTTTGATAAAATTTGGATTCCGAAGTTTTGGAAGCGTTCAAATGAGAGACGTGAACCAGACGCGAAACACCGCATTCAGCAGAGATGGAAGCAATTTTCTCTGCACCAGCGACATTTATCGAATCATAGTCGAAGGTCCTGCAAGCATGTTCAGACCACACGCGGTTTCTATCAAGAAGCTCACTTCGTCTCGTAATCTCTCCCGACGAGGTTGTACACGATATCAGAATGCCTCACACATTCCGCGATTTGTTCGTCGTTTCTGATGTCCCATTCCTACGCCAGTTGTGAGAGAGTGATAGGGACCAAGGATTACAGCGTACCATGCGAACTATCTGACCGAGATCGCCCATAGGTTTCAAAAACCGTGCCTCGTCTTCGTCCCGGTACGGAACAATGACCTGCGTTCCCAGCTTGGCTGTGGAACTTAATACAGCGCGAGGGTGCTCTCAATATTGAGCGCACCAATTTTCGACACCAGGTACCGGCCCAAGAAGCCGGTGCAGCCAAAGACGGTGACGGTGTGGCCGGACACCGCGCTATATCCTGGAAGACCTTGAGAGACGACAGCTTTCTTGGATGGGAGAGTGACGAGATCATGGTAGGCTCGCTATGCCGAAGGTGAAATTCACTCGGTGGGGGAATAGAAGAGCAAGCACCTTTCCCTGAGACGCAAAAGAGCGTGGGACGCGTAGCAGCATATCCGGCCACAGCAGGAGGATGAGTTGGGATTGTTACGGTGTCACGGACATAGTCACAAAGTGTATTTCCGATCCACCCTAGTCCACCATGGCGCAAGGCAAAACGAAAGGACTTCAGTCAAAGGGCGCAAACTCGAGACACGCCGCTAAGGCGGCATCTGGAACGAAGAAGGGGAAAAGATTCATCGCTCCAAAGGTATGGATACCATTTTATGCTTGGGCTACTCTTTTTGTACTGAAGCACGCGGTCCAGAAAACTGTCCTTGTACAACAAGCAGCGCTTCACAAGGTGAGTTCCGGTCTCTTTCTTCTTCATTCCGCTCTCTGTGTGCACTAGATCTGATGAAATTTCACAGAATCTGACTGCTAAGATCAACAAATCAATTGAACAACAAATGGTAGCCGCCGCGTCTAACGGCAAATTAACCATTATGAAGAATGGCCCGGTAGATAGGTGAAAACAACGTTCCTTCTCATCTTTTCCAGTCTCACTGCGTCGCAGTTCTTCGAAGCCATCAGTCAAAGGCAAATGAGGACCCTGGTGCTCGCTGCAGAATGTCCTGGGACGTCGCTCGTCGGAGCCTCTATGCAGCGCTCATCGGTCATGCAAAAATCGACTCGGACGCACTCGCATAACGGAAGGCTGGACGTACCTGCGAGATCCGATGCAACTATGATCTGCATACAGTGCTCAGTGGGCAGGCATCTCCTCGGGTGGGACGGTGTCTCGTATGTGATAGAGTGATATAACCCCCTTTTCTTCCTTCAATAACTACTACCTATGCCGAGCGCTGATCAATGGAAGTGTATGAAGACGTTTTGAAAATCATCTCGGGCGTGTTTCGCATCATAAGGCCGGGCCGGGTGGGCGCTCTCCAAAAGTCATCACGAGATTCACCAATCTTAGCAACCCCCACCATCTCCTCGAATCCCAGTTGACATGGTCGCCTTCTCTGCCTCTCAAAGACAGCGGATTGATGAGCTACTGGTATGTTTTCTGAGACTTCGTCGCACTATCTAACTATCTCCAGCGCGATTCTGTAGATTCGAAGACGACATCTGCTTTGTTCTATGGGGTTACCGATGTCAACGGCCCGATCTACATGAACCACGTCGGACACAAACTCATTGACGATCCTGCCAGCGATCGTATCAATGAAGACACTGTGTTCTGGTTATGCAGCCAAAGCAAGCTTGTGACTTCTGTGTGTCTGTGTAGGTGTTGTTGAATGTGTCGCTGACCGTGGCGTAGATCGCAACTCTCCAGCTGATAGATCAGGGCAAGATCACTCGTGACACCTTGGCGGAAACGATCTTACCAGAGTTGGCCAATCTCCTCGTAGTCACTGCCCAAGACGCAGCCGGAGCGATCCTTTCTACGAGACCTGCGGCCTCAAAGATCACCGTCGGGCAACTACTGAATCATAGCAGTGGTTTGGATTATTGGTTGCCTCGCGGTGGCCCTCCTGGAGGTTGACCCTTTCCATTGTCACGGGAGCTGAGAGCGCTGAGAGCTCTTCAGAGCTTCCGGAAGCGTACACGCACAACTACAGAGATGGAGACATTTCCAATTCTTCGCCTTGATCAAGGCCTGTTTCTGGCCACTAAGTTTGCCCGTCGCTGTATTGATAGCAGCTATCTCAGGGCTCGCTCCCCGGCATTCCTCTCCGCTTCGACCCAGGCACTGATTGTAAGTTGGCTTGTTCTCTCTCTCGACGCTTAGACTAACAAGTTGACAGTTGCATATGGATTTTCCAGTGACATAGCCGGTTTCATCGTCGAACGAGTATCCGGGAAGACGCTGGAACAATATTTGTAGGTGACATGCGCGCTGGACAATTGCCACAGTGCTGAAGGCCGACGATCATCTAGCAAGGATCACATATTCAACCCCCTCGGGATCGCATCGACCACCTTCTATCCCACAGACCAAATCAAACAAGCGCTTCTTCCTCTGTCGTATCGGACAAAGAAAGGGGAGATCGAGCGGTGGAACGCTCCCCCTGTAGTTGACATGGATCCTGCCAACGGTTGTCTCTTCGTCCAAAATATCAACCCTTGCTTACGGCCTTTCCTTAGTCAAAGTTTTCCTTGGCGGGGTGGGGTTATACTCTACGCAGAAAGACTATCTGGCTATCCTGCGTCATCTACTACAAATTAAAGGTCAGCTCTGACCTGAAATTGGTTTGCCTTGTACTGAACTCTGCGAAGCTGGTGTCGCTTCCGAACCTATCCTTACGCTTTCGACCGTGGAAAGTCTATTCCAGCCAACTTTATGCACGAAAGCAGCAGACACTATCAACATACAAATGCCTATTTTCAGTAGATACTTGAATGCGCCAGTAGGCTGTGGGCAATGGAGCACTGGGCTTCTCGTCAATCTGGAAGATGTCCCAGGTAAACGCAGGAAGGGCTCCGGTGCATGTAAGTAGTGGCCGCCCACTGATTCTCATCGACTGACCACATGCCAGGGGGCGGATGGGCGTCCACCACTTACTTTATGGACCCCGCCAGCGGTATCGCGGTCTTGATGGGTGCTCAGTTGGTGCCCAGTGGAGATGACGAGTACGAGAAACTCTTCGGCATATTGGAGAGCGAAGTGTACAAGGCGATCAGCTGAGGATTGTCCTGATGACATTGTGGCATGTCCTGCAATTCGAGAAAAGTGATTCCAGGTTATGACAGTAAACCCTCATATGGACTACTAGTATCCGCCTGCGCCAGGTGCCGCTGTGTCCTCACGTTTGAGCCGCAGTAGAACTTCCTTGAAGCGTGTCAGATCGGTGGTCCCAGGGCCGGCGCGAGCGATGGTTTTGCTCTGAGAGTTCTCGAGCTCGATCAGCTCACAAATGCGCTGCCATGTGGTGCCCGTGGACAGAGAGCCAGTCAAATGCTCGAGGAAATCTTTCTCGGCGTCCCTAAATTCCATTAATCATCACAGAAAACCGCGACACAAGACGCGCACTTGTTGTCCCGAATGGTGCGCGCCTTTTTGTCTGCATAGGCGCCGTAGAATTCGTCCATGTACTGCTCGGCGGCAGTGATAGTCTTCTGACGAGTCGCTTTCGACGCCTCGTCACGCGCGACGATCTCGGCGGCCTGCTTCTCACGCCAGTCCCTTTAAAACACGTATGAGCCATCGCTCACGGGTAGAGCGAGAGAGATATCGCGCACTTGATGACTTGTGGCTCATCCTCTTCTATCGGCTGACTAAGAATGGGGGTCGAGGTGAAAGCGGAGGGTTGGGGGCGCGGAGCGCCGAACGTGGGTGCTTGTTGCTGAATCACAGGTGGAGACATCTAGAGCGCGCTTCAGAATACAAGTGGAAGGATGACATTGGCCAGGTGCATACGGGCTGGATATCAGGAAACTCGCTGGTGAATTTCTCGATCTCATCATCCCCTGTCACTTTCACAGCTGTTTCTACAGGTTCGTCAAAGCCAGAGAGGAAGTCATTGCTGTTGGTGCTGGCAAGGGCTGGTGCGGATGGCAAAGAGGGGAAATCTCCAGCACCGTCCAAGGAGATGTCAGGAAACTGGGACGCAGCAGCGTCAAAGTCAATTTCGTTCGCCCCTCCGCTCGACGTGAAATCAAAGTCGCTCATGGCAGTGGAGGGAGTGGTCGAAGTAGTTTACGACAAATACGTATCAATCGAATATGATGATCCGATGATGCGATATCACAATTGAGTCAGAGATTCTGAAATTCTGTCCGACAGAAGTTGCCTCTAACCTTACGATGAGCATACCTCTTGGCCTTTCCGTCCCTGCGTTTACCCCCCATGCCATATCCGTGTCTCTTCCCACTTGGAAAGACAATGTAGACTACGAGGAAGCAGAAAAACGCGTGGTTGATGCTATGGTGACTGGATATCCCCGGTTCTTCATTCACCTGAGTATCCGCAAGGCAAGTCATTTCTGCATCATTATTGAGCGCGTTCTGAAACTCCCCATTTGCCGTCTAGCTTGCCTCTATATGCGAGCAGAAATTTGGGGCTCGGAATGAACTATGTCTGCTAGTTCCATCACAGAAGATCGCCGCTGAATGCCGTTCGTTCATGGAAATCCGTTCGAAGAATGAGGGCACTCCGATCGTCCCAAGACTCATTCATTTCAACATCTTTCCTGAGGACAAGCAAAATCAAGGTCCCTGTGTCGACGAAACATCTGTGACTTTGTCCTCCATCTCAGCTAGCCTGCATATCGTGTTGTTTCCGGAACAGGCATTCGGCTTTGCGAAGCAGTTTTGGCAGCACACCGGTCTTGGAATTTCCAGCCGACTTGCGGAGCATTGTTTGTCCCTATTGCCAGTGGAGACGACATTTGTCCCCAATGGATTGCAACATACCCCGCGGAGAGCGTACAACAAGCATTACTCCGCCAAGGCAAAGCCTTCTTCTCCTACGGAAAGCGTGGGGCGTAACATTGACGACCTCAGTCTCGATCACTCGATGTACGTCGAAGAACGCTACGGCCGCAATCTTCCGCTCTCGGCGGCCGCAACTGCGAAGCGCGCATTGCGCATGAGGATTGCTGGTGTTCTTGTGCGCGACGCGCCTTTAGAATCATCTGACGCGCTGGACAACGGGGACAAGAACGCGGATGTGGCGGCTGTTGGGCGTGGAGTAGATGGATTGTCGGAGGACGATGTGTTTCTGTATCCCACTGGGATGGCCGCCATCTGGAATTCTCACCAGCTCTGCCTAGCTGTGAGACCAGCCAAAAAGAGCGTCTGCCTAGGGTGAATCCAGTCGATCTTGGCCTCAGCAGTTCTCTTACTCTGTACAGGTTTACCTACACGGACACTCTGAAATTGCTGGAAAAGTGGGGACCAGGATGCCATTTCATCGGGGATGGGAATTTGGACAGTCTCGAGCAGATTCTGGAGCAACAATCCGCATCCGATCCCGTCAACCCTCCCATTCTGGCTGTCTTCCTCGAAATTCCTTCCAATCCTCTGCTCCGAACAGCTGATCTCCCGCGACTCCGCAGTCTCGCAGACAAATACAAGTTCCTAGTCGTCATTGACGAGACCGTCGGCAACTTTTTGAATGTCGCGGTCATCCAATATGCAGATATCGTCGTCAGCAGCCTCCCACCAAAGTGTTCAGTGGCTACTCCAACGTCATGGGCGGAAGGTATGATATAACTGTTCAGTCCAACTGTCTGTTAAGTAATCATCTCGATTCCAGTCTTTGCCTCAATCCTCAATCGTCTTACTACGCGAGTCTGAAATCGCACATGACAGCTAGCTACGAGGACACCTACTTTGACGAGGACGCCATCTACATGGAGCGAAACTCCCGTGACTTTCGGCGACGCGTCAAAGTGATCGACAAAACGCAAGAGCCGTTTGCGAGTACCTACGGTCCAAAATCTATTGCAGGTGGCAGCTCTTCGCCGATCGTCAAAGAGGTGTTCTATCCTCGTTATGTCACGACGGAAAACTACGAACGCTGCCGAATTCCGGGTGACCCAGCCCAGGGCATCGAGGAGGGGGGTTACGGCGGTCTTTTCTCTGTGACGTTCGCCTCCATGGCGCTCGCATCCATTTTCTTCGACAATCTGTCCTGCAACAAGGGCCCCAGTCTTGGCACCAACTTCACACTCGC